CGAGCGTATCATACCTCCAGGCTAAAGAACCAAAGGACAACCAATCAGTGATTTGTAACTGCAATGATATTTGGAGAATCAGTTGGAGCATCAATAATCACTTTCACTGTCCCAATTACTGCAATTTTGCTTTTTGATGTAGATATATGTAGATATATTTACTTTACTACACTCTACTTTTTCAATATATTATTTAACTTCTATTTTATATTCAATTTAGTAAATACTTAGTTTATTATAGCTTTTTCTCAGTGAATTGGTAACTCTGCTACAATTACCATCATCAATTGGCGTTACCTACATCATAGCTTCTTCATATATCATAATAGATAGATCAATCTGCACCGTAATCAAAAAGTATCAAATGAGTTTTTGTAAGCTTAACGATATTTCTTCATTCGACGAACCTGTTTGTTAAAACTCTTAAAATATCGACACAAAAAGTAAGAAATATCAGAGTGCTTGAAATAATTCTTGGACATTGAAGTCGTTATAGACTATTAAACTGTTCAACTACAATACTTAAGTCTTTCTAATATTCGTATTTTTCATTCATACATAATTACGAGTACGTCATAGATTCATTGATTCTCATTATATACATATCATATATATCTATGTATATATTTTACTTATGTAGAGTTAAGTTTGAGTTCCTATACGTTCTGTGTTAAAGTATTCACATTTTTTCATTTCTATAAGTGATTTAATCAATCCTTTTTATGAAATTATACTTTTATATGTTCTGCGATGGCATAAATCAGTCATTAAGGAATTATTTTTAGTAGAAAACTCAATGAATATACCGAACCGTCGCAATAATTTGATCTTAACCTTAATCAGTCCACAAAATGTTTGTGGATGATTGGAACAAGTATTGATATTGTTGTATTGCACCCCCCTTGAAGACTTTAAAATAAATTTTGATTGAATGATGATTTCTTTGAATGATAATTTAATTATTTCAAATACATTTTGGATATAAACTATCATCTTACATGTAATCAAAATTATAAATCGTCGGAACGATAAAATTGCTGAATGCTATTTCTAACGTTCATATTCCTTTTCGATGGCAAGTAGAACAATTCGGTTCATACCCTTTATGTGGTCATTGTCTTTAATTGTTCTTTGATAATAAACAATATCATAGTCGATTAATCAAAGCAAAGCAGTGAATCCAAATTCCACACTTTGAATTTTATCGTCAATGCCAATTAAAATTTTTGCCAATCATTGTCAATACATTGAGACATTCCGGCGATAACACTTAACACTTTATAGTAAGTTTTTCATTCATAAAAATGCCAAAATTTTTAGCTCAGATAAGAATTCATGAATGAATCCGAACCTACGCGCTTTGGCAATACAATTTTATGTTAAGATAACGACTGTCCTCTACAATCTTCCATCTGGTGTAGATAGTATGAACCGAACTGAAGATACTAATTATCAAGTTATCATTTACGTCATAGCTTATAGAAATCCAAAGGTATATTCTTATTCAAAATTCAACTTCCGTTAGATTAAATCCAATCACATGGGTACAATCCGGTAACTGCGCTCAGAAGTATGCAGAAGTATTTTTATTTTCTTATTATAGCAAATATTGAAATATTAAAGAAAAACTAGAAAAATATTTGAATCGAATTTATTTTATTGAAATCTCAGAGTTTAGTACATTTAATAGGAAATTCCAGTGTATGACTTTATCCAATTCAAGTAACTGGTTAAACGTGTGAATGCAACTGGATAACCCAATTCGCAACCTTTCTCCGCACCGAAAGATGTTAAGCCAATTTGTACTTTAGAAGAAGCCAAAACCAATGGACCGCCAGAATCTCCTTGGCAGGTAGATACCTTATTTGGTGTGGAACAGCAGATCTTTGAGGCGACAACACTAGCAGTGCCATAAGTAGCAGCACATTTTGTGTTGCTTATAACAACAAGGTCAGCCCATTGCAAATTAGTGGTGACTGTGGTAACCGCATCACTGGTACGTCCCCAACCGGAAGCAATAACGTTATCACCACTATATGTAGAATAGGTGCTAGCAATGGAAGGCAATTTCACTACTTGAATTTTACTGGAATAGGTAACTGATGGAATTTTAATCAAAGAAATATCATCGACTATGGTTTTGGAGTTGTAGCCAGTATGCACAATAATATCACTAGCATCTACATTGTAGCTTACTTCGGGAGAGGTACGTACAGTGGCACCCAAGTATACTGTTACAGATTTGGCGCTAGAAGTGAAATGAAATTTTGTCATAATACAATAAATTTATAATAAATTAATCAACTTCTTACCTAATAGTGCAATGAGCAGCAGTCAAAACCCAATTCTTGCCTATTAGTGAGCCACCACACCATGATGAAGACAATGCACTCTTCTTAATAGACAAACCAACTTGGTAGGGAAATTGTCCTGTTGTTGCAGTTTTACCGTTGGTAATTCGTCCATCAGGTCCATCAAGTACAGGCACTTCCACATCAAGGTGATGAATTTCATTTGATCTAAGATCAAATGCTGTGGCAGTGGCCAAAGCCAATACGAAAACTGCTAAGAATTTCATTGTTAACGACTGTTATTAAATACAGTACTGTCATTTGCTCTCTTTCGAGGCACCTTTTATACGGCCGAAGGTACTATGTACTTCTTGGCTATCTAGTCAGGTGTGCCGTGTGCATTTAACCTATGTTAAGCTGCTGTTATGTATACATGAGGAAATACTTATGTGTACTTCGCTTCATATAAATTGTAACACACACTTATTTACTTTGAGTCTCTTTCGCAGTGCGCCGAATGATATCTCACCAATAAAAAATGAAAGCAAATCTGTTTCCGGTCAAAAAGCAAGAAATTTTTATCAATCAGTGAACAACCGTCAGATTAATAACTTTTGTTTCACTTGCTTTTGGGGAAGCAAGTGCAATTAAAATTTAGTTCAGTTTTCGATTTCATTTGAGTTTGTTCACTTCCAAGAGTAACGGGTCCAATCAAATGTGTGAGACAGAAAAATGAAACCCATTGGAATACCAAGTCAGAAAAGAAGGACTTTGATGATATCTAAAAAGTATGTGAGTTTATATTATATCTTATAATTATATTACTTATTATTTCAAAATTTTCGTGATTTTAAAACAAATTATTCAAAAATAGTCTGAGTTTAAATAATGAGAACTTTAATATATTAATTATTAACTGAATGTATTGATTTTACTTGCTGGAATATTATTGTAATTATAATTATGAGACCGGAAATGACCGCAACTTATAATGGTCTAAAGCTCCTTTACCTGTAATGGTAGACAACTATTTTTATTATAACTTAAACTTATTTTAATATTACAAAATGTATATCGAATGAATTTTTTATTCTTTTACAAGATCTTCACTTCGCTAATCCTTATAAATAAAAGTCCACTTTCTTCTTATTATTAAGTATAGTATAGTGATATTTAGAGTATATAGAACAGACTAAAAAAATACCTTTTCCATGATCTGCCTTGAAGTAATACCAACCAGTACATTTGTTTGTTTCTTGAACAGTCGCTGTGATCAAACTGATTCCTTGTTATGGATTTTTTTCTTGGCATTAGGTAAAAAACATCGAAATCTGTAAGTGTGAGATTTGAATCCACCAAAACTTCTTCTTAAGAATAAGTTTTTAACGACAGTCATCGGACTGCAAACGACTTCCGACTGAAATAATATTTTAGTAAAAGAGAATGAAAGATAAGAAGTTTAGTATTTAAGTTTCCAAATATATCTCGCTTAAAAGTAAGAACGTAGTTCACATTAGTTATAATAATGAGTATTAAACAAGGATTAAGACTCTCTATTAGTCTTAATAAATTGTTATATATAATTTGCTATAGCACCTATAAAAGTGTGAAAAGTGATTGATTCCTAATAGATTCATATTCTTAGCTATTGATATAACATCATTTCTTTAAATATATACTCTTTTATTATTAATCCTTATTAATATATATTTGAGATACATACACATAATCATTTAGATTTATTGAATAAAACCAATCAGTATTATATCAATTTAAGTTTATTGAAATTTTCTTTATATGAACAAATATTATTCACATAATTTACAATGAAATTAGTTATAAAACAAAAATATTTGTAGTAAAATTTTAATATATGTTGTGTGGATATCATTTGGGATATGATGGTGTCGAAACTTTGATTAAATTTAAGTGTTTTAACTTATTTTCTTTTTTCCCTCGGCGTTTCATTGGGTTTTTTCCAACATCTTCAAAAGTATCTAAAAGATTTTTTTATTATTTAATAATTATAATTTTTTTTAATGATGTATTAAATTGACCTTATAAACAAATAAATAGCAACAACAATAATTACTTTTAATATATAAGAAATCTATTACTTCAAAAAATTTAACATATTCCATATTCATTTTGAATCAAAGGAGTTATTACCTTCATTAAATTATTACTACGAAACAATTGCACTGCATATTTTTAGGAACTCACATAAACAATTCACAATAGAACACTAAGTAATTTTGAATTGCCTTAGAATTGCATTAGTTAAAAATAAACTATCAAATTTAAAAATATTAACAATATATAAATAAGAATAATATATTTTTGAAGTTTTATTTTCTAATTATTTATTTGCTTATTTATTTAAATACAGTAAAACCCCTCGAATCCGGATCCATTAAAGTTAAGTCCGAATTAATGAGACATTCGGATTGAAGGAGTCATATTTAAAATGCAATGTATTTTATATATTGTATATAACATATACTTATGTTATATATTTGTATATGCTTATTTGAATACCAAAAACTGAACAAAAACTTAATAATAATCAATTGCTCATTAAATTATTTGAATTGACGAATCTATGGTCGATTCGGACTACAAGGCACGTAATGCATGTTTTGCTTCATCTACGTATTTTTAAATAATGAAGGAATTCAAAGTTGTATTAATTGTTTTCAGACCATTTTCGTCGGTTCGTGGATTATGTTTTTAACGAACGTGGTATGGTCATGCATAATATAGTATCTATATATCTTAATCCTATGTTAAATTAAGACCAAGATGTGTGATAATACACGGCACCCTTCTCGAGATGAACCTGTTCTTCATGTTGGTAATCTATAATGTACCAATATAATGGATCTAAAGAGGAAACTTGATAAAAACCCGTTATCTCCATTGTTATTCAACCCGAGATTAATAGTACTACCTTACTATCTTCTAACGGAGGTTTCTGGATAACTGGCGCACTCCGGTTATATTATACAATCCTTCTATAGTCTCTGCCCGGATCGACTTTCCTTTCTTCACAACTTTCCTCATGTATACATAAAATTGCATAGGATAACCAAGCTCCTGATATCTCTAAGAAGCGACAGCAGTTATTAGATGAGTCAGCTTTGAGACCAAATGCTAAAAAGGTAACGCCACCACAACATGTCCTTTAGCAACATGCTGATGGGTTCCATAATTATAGTGGTCATTGATAAAAATGACCCGGTTGACACAATTACACCTGAGGAGTGGAATATGATTGAACTTAAGCTCATGGATGTGTACATTGACGTCCTAAAGACTTTCTTGGAAAGGATCATACCTGTCGCGATAGTGAATTGTTTTACGGCCATGTGAAGCTAATCGCTGCGCAGATAAGCGTTTTGTTGATCTCTATCGCAATCTCCAGAATTGGTGAGGTGTGGACAGGTACCCAACTCAATAAATTACTAAGAAACAAATTCTTCGCGAGCCTAGAGCGGTTTCCTGAATTGTCCTATCTTCTACGGACTATGAAGTTTGTTCGATTGGGAAACCATGAGGTTAGGACAGCAACGTGAAAGAAAACGAAGATAAAAGAAGCAAGAGTTAAATATTGGTTAGTCAGTTTTATGATTGACTAGTTTTATGATCCTTGGCTACTTTGGCGATTTCTTGAGGTGTCTTAAACTACGGTTTTTCATCCATCACGATGAAGGAACTAATGTAATGACTCAATAAAGGATAGCGCTCTAGAGCTATTACTTTCTTATTGTACACTTTTTTATATGTCTACTAAGTATATCCGAACTGATGTGATGCGTTTATTTTCATAACCAGTGATTGAGCCAAATTTAAAAAAAATTCTCACTTTATATAATTGGTCAAATCAAATAAAGGTTATTGTGTTGAA